GATTCATTAAGCTCAATCAATTTCTCCACGTCTTCATCCTCGCAACGAATATCACTCAACCATTGATTCCTATACTTTACGCCTATAAAGACATCGTTTAAATTAATTAAAATAAATTCTTAATTTAAATTTAAAAATATTAATTAAGGTAAAAAAGCTAAACTAATTAAAAAGATCTCATTAATTAACTAAATAATAATTAGTCACAAAATAAACCTAATTAGATATGATTGGATGACTAAATGACTCACTCGTAGACTCGTCGGCGTTGTGTTTATCGGTAGAGACGCCGATCTCCCGGAGCCCGGCGTACGCTCTTATCTGCACATAGTTTTCATTCATGTAATTGTGGTAATCATTGATGGCTTTATCTAGCCATTTGATAGCCTCCGGAGCGTTGTTGAGCTCCAACTCCACTAATCCTAACTCCAGTACCGCCTGCGGAGGGATTGAGTGCTCGCGACAAATACGACCCTCTCTTCGCAAATTTTATTAAAATATAATTAAGTTAAAAATTAAAATACTTACTCTTCAAAAACAATTGTTTGACAATTTTTCGCTTCACTATATTGTCCGAGAAGTCTGTGGACGACTCCCTTATAAAACAGTGCCGTCAAATAGTTGTCCAAATAGTCACTTGTTTCTAACATTTAATGTAAATTTTAAAATATTTAATTACTTTCAATATGTTTAATAACATTAATAATTTTATTTAAATACTTATATCGGGTGCATATTTTTCTAATTCAGCCACAATTCTCTTCATATACTTATTCAATAGCAGAGAATTACCGGCGATGAACGACAATATATTTAATTGATATAAAATGTCCTAAAAATACATTTTACTTTAATTAATATTTAAATTGATTAAAATATAGGACATTTACTAAAATAAACAATGTTGTATACCATGTCGGGTAATACAGCGCTCTGATCGGCATTTATAGTAAACTTCTGTGCGGACACGACTGCCATCTTTTCTACAGTCAATGTTTTGCCAAAATATCGGACGCGAACTGACGGCACAATTCTGTACGTCAAATACACAGAATATTCTTGTTTTTTATTTTGATAAAATATAATTTTCAATTTATGACAACTATTATATTTAATATATTTAAATATACCTGTCATAATTTTAAAGTAAACCTACCCGAGCAGTTTGACAGCCATATCCATTTCCCGTGCGTTGTCTTCATTTACAGCCTTTACATACCGACAGACGGCCTCTATATATGTGGTGAATGCGGGCGAATGAACGGTCCCTTTGCGCACCCGTTGGGCGTATTTAATGCATTCATTGAATTGATTTCTCAAAGCGTTTGATATGATTAATTCAAACTGAAAACATTTTGACATTAAATCAAACTCGTATTCTTCTAGCAATTTGTGATAGATATCTATCGACTCGTCGATACGGCCACTGATTTGAGCCAATTTGGCCTTAAATCCCAAATACACACCACTCTAATGAAAGGAGAGAGAGAGAGAGAGAGAGAGAGAGAGAGAG